TTAAAAATTTCAAGTTTCATTATATTTTCGGTTTTTTCCTTTTTTCAATGTCCATATATTTTTTAATATAATATATATCTTCCTATCATAAAAATATAATTTTTATTTATATGTTAGAAAATATAATTTTTTTTTAGTAAGAAGTCATATTATTAATTTTTTTTAACTATTTTTCTGTGATAACAGGTGCCCAAACTAAATAGACATATTTTCATATTAATTAAAAATCTTTTCATATAGGAGTACAAGGTATGCTTGTTTAATTTGTATTTTAATTTGAGTTATTTATTATTATTTATTTTGTTATCTGAGGTATTGATAATTTTAATATATAAAAAGGACAAGCCTACGAACTCAACCAATTCTAAAGGTGCGTTTGGTTATGGCTTTATTTATATAGGGTGTGTTTTTTTTTTTTTTTTTTAAATTTAATATTAAAATAATATTTGATAAGATATTTTGTGAAGAAAAAAATATATTTTTTGAAAAACCGTAGAATTCAAATAATAAAATTTGAAAAAATTTATGTAAAGAAACATACTTTTACTATTTTAATGTATAGTTACCATGGAAGAAAAATTCCTACAAAAATCTAAGGCTACTCCTCGACAAAAAGTTTCGCCCACTGCCAGTTCATATAAAACAAGCATCGTTTATGCATGGACTCAAGTTTTCCTCGACATAAAATATATATGTACTTTGAAATTATATAAATTAATAAAAAATATTTAATTCTCAAATTATAAATTCTAATGAAATCCAGATTATGTGTTGAATATTTTTATTCAGAGGCCTCTTCCGAAGAATGGGCCAGACCAGGTCATTCGATACCACTGGCTATAATTCTAACATTGTGCCAGGACCTACGGCACTGTTATGATGGTTTAAAAATAATTATAACAATTATATTAGTAATATAAATTAATAATACAAATTAAATGTTAATTTTCTTAAGGCATTCAGCATCAATGCTCAAATATTTTAATCATCAATTAAATTCTACATATTCTATAGAATTTGTAAATTCACAGAAGTTTACAAACTTTTAAAAGTCCAAATAAATCTATTAAAATCCTAATTGAATACACTCTCAGATATTTACTTTTTGTATGAAATTTGACATGTATTATATTTTAATGATATTTAGTGATAGTTTTAGTATATAAGATTATTTTATCCCTATACTATGTAAAGTTCATACGATGATATTGATGTAAAAAAATATAAATATGAAAATATTTTTATTATATAGCGAAGTCTGTACATACTAACAAATAAATAAATACTTTATGTTAGAGTAAGAAAAGATGACAATATAAATATTTATGAAATACCAAATGAACGGAAGAATACTTCATACGGTCCATAACAAATGATACAATTTCTATTTTAGTTTGTTTTATAACTGTAGACAAAAAATTGTGTTATTTTTAATAAACATAAAATTTGTACAAATTATATTTGATTTAAAGCGGGTCATATTCTCTAAATGGGTCCTTTGATTCTCCTTCCAGGTCGATTTATTTTCCAATTTAGATTTGGGTGGCTTCTTTGATCCGAAGAGGTTTGGTCTTCGGTTTGACTTTGCCGGCTTTTGGAGAGTTTTGGTCTCCGTGCGGGCTATTTGATCGTCGGCTTTGGATTTGATGTCTTTTTTAGACGATCCGAGGCTTTAATCTTTGATTTGGCTTTGCCGCATTTTGAAGGGCTTTGGTCTCCGTGTTGGCGATTTGATCATCGTCTTTGGATTTGTTGTCTTCTTTGGACGGTCTGCGACTTTGACATTTGTTTTGGCTTTGCCGCTTTTAGAGGACTTTGGTCTCTGCGTGGGCGATTCGATCGTCGGTTTTGGATTTGATGTCTTCTTTAGACGATCCGCAACTTTGATCTTTAGTTTGTCTTTTCCGCCTTTTGGAGAGCTTCGGTCTCCGTGTGGGCGATTTGATCCTCAACTTTGGATTTGATGTCTTCTTTAGACGATCCGCAGCTTTGATCTTTGATTTGCCTTTTCCGCATTTTGGAGAGCTTCGGTCTCCGTGTGGGCGATTTGATCCTCAACTTTGGATTTTTTATGTCTTCTTTGGACGATCCGCAGCTTTGATTTGCTTTTTCCGCCTTTTGAAGAGCTTCGGTCTCCGTGTGGGCGATTTGATCCTCACTCAGCTTTGGATTTGATGTCTTCTTTGGACGATCCGCAGCTTTGATCTTTGAGAAGGTGGATTTGGTGCTCCATAACGCTTTTGGTGGAATGTCCCTTTGACTTTTGGATCGAAAAGGGCCGAGTTGATGCTTTGGTGAAGAACGCGATGAACACCTCGAAGCTTTGAGAGAAACTTTGAAGACCTTTCCTTAGCTTTGACGAATTCCTGGACGGCTTTGAGAGCTTTGATCCTTCCTCCAGCTTAGATATACGACGAAGAACGTTAACTTCATCGATTCGTCAACCAATATTGGATCATTTGTCAAAATTAGTGACTTTCGACAAAGAATGCTTCGAAGGACACGAAGAACATGAAGAACAATACAGAAAGAGTCTAGAGACTTACCCCTTTGCTTGAATCATCGATGCAACTTCGGTGTCTCAAATGAATTGGTCATGTCTCCTATTTATAGGGGATGAGTGGCATTGGCTTCCTTTTCGGATGGTGCCACGCGTATGGAAAGATTTTATAATCTTTCCTTTTCCATCAGATGCTATTTTCCATTCTTGACGGATTTGATTGTGCACCTTCCTTTCTCGCCAAAATCTTTATATCATTGTCTTTTTTGGAAGATATTAATTTATATACTTCCTTTATTGACAAGATCTTTATATCATTGCATTTTTTGGAAAATATTAATTTATATACTTCATTTATTGACAATATTAATTTATTTTGCTGCCAAATTTATTATGGCTCTATTTATGCACGTAATATTTGTACGATATCTTCTATTTTAAGCATATTTTTGCATTAATTGTTGATATTTATTGTACAAAAATTAACATATGTGCATAATTAAATACCATATATTTATTTTATTGGAATTTTATTTTCTTCCAAAATATATGATATCTAATTGATTTTAGACATATATTTTTAGTGTCTACAATAACAAATGATATTTTTGGTAAATTTTACTAGTTATTACATATTTAACAAATATAAATCAACTTAATTAATTTTATAGCATATAATATTATACATAACGTATGTTCCATTTAAAACTCTTTATTTTTATATATATCATCAATAAACAAATATTTTTATATACATTTAAAACTCATCTTGTTTTATAAAATTAGTTTATGTTAATGATAAATAAATTTATTTATTTATATTATATAAAATTTAATAAATTTACATTTACTTTTTATATCATTATACTTAATATTAAAATTTTCCTTATATTAGTATAATTTTTTATACGATATATCTGAATTATAAGACACTAATATAAATATTTTTGTTTTTTTCTTTTTATTTGTAAAAGCAAATGTCAATTTTGTTAATGGAAGGAGATAATATATTTTATTAACATATAATTTTTAAAATCTTTAAATATATATTCTATTTTTTTTAATTATATATATTACTCTCTTCGTGCTAATTCAAAATATTATTTTTACTATTTTCGTAAGTCCAATTTCAAAGTATCTTATTTGTATTTTAGTAAAAATAATCATAAACTAATATCAAAATACTCCTAACTTTTATTTAAATTATAAAAATATAATTATACATACAAATTACTTTATAAAAAATCAAAAGACAAAAATATCAAAATCTTTTACACATTTCAAATAACTAATAAAATATTACTGTATTATTTTTTAATTTAATACAAAACTCCAAAAAATCATTTTCAAAAGGTACTAATGAAGTACTATTTTTTATTTTAAATTTATTAATAGTATTTTCTATATAAAAATAATAAAATAATAAAAAAAAAAAATATAGAATCACCTTAAAAATATTGTCTCTTAGGTATCATTTAAAATGTTACGGCTTGTTTCTTTAATCAAATTTCCCTAAATTTTATTATTTGGACTGTGTGTTTTTTGAAAAAAAATACTCACTCAAGAATTATATTATTTTTTACTTTTGTCCGTTTAAAAAATATATCATTAATTGTATTACCTACTTAATATAATTAATACCATTACAACTTTCAGTATATTACACAAATGTAGTTACTTTTTTATCACACAATTTAACAGAGACATTTTTGTCTTTTCTACTATACATCAATATAATACTAATATTCAAAAATCTACGCGAAAAAAACAAATATTACTCTTTTTTTGGGACAAATATAGTATATTTTTTTCTCTCACAAAATATTCCATTAAACATTATTTTCGTACCAAAGTCAAATCAAATTTCTTCCGAACTCATAAAAAGAAAGAGACGTCCCTGGACAAAATGGCACACAGACGTAGCAATATATAGGAGTGGCCAAAAAAATCGAACCGAACCGTCGAACTGTTGAATCGAATTGAATCGAACCGAATTTTCGGTTAACCGAGCAAATTAGGTTCGAATACAAATACTGCATATTTGATATTTGCTCGATTCGGTTCGATTCAGTTTTTGATTAACCGAACCAAATATATTTATATTATTATATTTTAAAATTTATATTAATAATTATATTCGATTCGGTTCGGTTCGGTTTCGGTTCGGATATTTGAAATATTTGCAAATATTTTGATTTAATTATTTTTTAATATATTATTTTTTAATTTTGGCTCAGTTCGAATTATTTGCAAATATTGCAAATATTTTTAATTCGAATACGATTCACGATTTCAAGTATTTGTTCAGTTTGGTTCGAATACCAAATACCTATATATTTGCAAATATTCGAACCTTGTTAACCTGGCAATATATATATACACATACACACGAGGAAGACCGGTTTGAATTTGAAATCTTAAAAAGCGGGCCCACTAACAGTTAGTTTTGGGGGGAGATGTGTATTTACATACATTCCCCATTTCACAGTTTCTCCTTGTACTGCTAAGGGTTTCTATTGCCTCTTCCTCTCCTCTTCTTTTCTTCTTCTTCTTCTTCTGACAGGCGAAAGGAGTAAGGTTTACGAGACAACAGAAATGGTGGTTCCAAAGAACAGCAAATCATCGTATGAGGAGGACAGGCGGAAGAGACTGGAAGAGAATAAGAGAAGAATGGAGGAGCTAAATCTTAGTAAATTAGCTGAAGCACTGCACACTCCCAAGCCTTCACCTGTATGCACGCATCTCACAATATTGCTCTCTTTGTGTTTGATTTTTTTGGAACAGTATATGCGATTGGATCTGGTTATGTTCGAGTTTCTTAAGATCGTTCTATGAAAGTGTCGGTTATGCATTTTGTGCAGATGAAGAAGGCGAAGCCGAAAGTGAAACGGTCTTTGGATGTATCTGCTGTCCGTCGGTCTAGCCGTGTGGCTGATTTACCTCCGCGCAGTTACAAAGAAGTCAGTGATTTAACTTTCTTTGCTTTCTAGAATACATTTTCGATGTCCTGTTTTTGGTGAGCTTTGTTTACATTCGTAAGTATATTGATTGGTTTCTGAGATCACATATAATCGCTAGAAATATTGAATAGACTGTGGACTTGTGTGTTTTTCTTTGTTCGTGTTCTATCAAGATGACTTGTGCGTTTTCTCTTATAATATTTTGCTAAAAGTATCAATGAGGTTTCATGATAACACATTAGTATTCATAGAAAGAAAAAATGACTAGAGTTGTCCCATTTAATCTACAGTGTTACAATACACAATTGGGAAATCCTTGCCATCTGATTAGATAAAAGTGTTGGAAGTTTTGTAGTTTTGAAAAATATTGAGAATAGTAAAAAAAAAAATGAATAGTGACAAAAGGTACGAAAGTGTCTATGTAAGTGATATCCTATATTCTTATGCAAGTGTTTTTGATTTGGCTTTTTTCACTTTGGTAGATTCCAGTTGAACCTATGGGAAGGCCAAGGCCAAGGAGGTTGGTGATGGATGCTTTTGTTTCATTTAGCTCTATTGATCACTGAGTTATGCATCAGTTTATAATTCTTTTACTGCTGTGTCTTCAGTTATGGATATAGGAGGGACTTGTCCAACAGAGTGTATGCAGACGACGAAGACAGAGCATATGCCATACAACGGGCAGAGGACCTTCAGGCAGGATTAGATCAAGATATTCCAAGCTTTGTGAAGCCACTGCTCCAGTCACATGTTACCGGAGGTTTTTGGCTGGTATGTCAAAGCCACTTTTTTATTTTTATTTCTATAATCATTAATAGAAATCAGGAATGTGTTTGATAACATAGTTGAGAATCGAGAGCAGCATTGCCTATAAAGAAATGGAGAAGATGTTTGTGCACCCTCAATAAGATTTGTTAGAACTCAGCATATTGAGATGAAAATCGGTAGTTTAGAATCTATACGAGGCATGGTTACAAAATATATAGAGATTCTTACACATGCCGAGTGAAATATGGGGTAAATATGAACAGGGTCTTCCAGTTCACTTTTGCAAGTCGCACCTTCCAAGTCGTGACACAATGGTAACTCTAGTCGATGAAAAAGGGGAAGAGTTTACAGCCAAGTATCTTGCTCTTAAAACTGGGCTTAGCGGCGGATGGAGAGGTTTTTCTCTCGAACACGGGTTGGTTGATGGGGATGCACTTGTTTTTCATTTGATTAAGCCGGCGACATTCAAGGTGTATAATCCTCATCTCCTGTTTTCAACTCGATCTCGTAATTAATGATACAATCATAATGCATTCATAACAGCCTAAACTTGTGTATTGTATGCAGGTGTACATCATAAGTGTAAAGGAACTTGCAGAAAACAACAGCTGAGAATTATGAGTATGAACTTAATTCTCCTTATCTACATATGAAATGTATTATTTATGCAGGAATGTAACTGAATGGACATTCTGATGAGAAGCCAAGAGGGTTTCATGCCTATTATAAGGTGCTCCTCTACCTTTCTTATATGAATTTGAAGTTCCTCTTATGGTTTTTTCTTTTTTAATCAGGCTCAATTTTAATTATTTAGTCTAGAAACAAAGAGAAATGCCTCTCAATTTGCAGATAGCTTTCTATGCCGTTGTGTGATGTAACTAAGTGTTTAGGAATGTGATATATTTTAAATAAAAAGAATAGTATATTTATAGTAATATTTGAAATGAAAAAGAAATGGTGAAGAATGTGTAAAAATAATAAATAACCCACGTTTCCACTCTGTCCATTATCCCCACCCACGTAAACATGATTTCAACCTCTTTGATTGAGTCTTCCTTCATGTTTTGGGCCTCTTGTTTTTTTTGGGCTCTTTTGAATAGTTGCAGCCCACTCGGTGATTTAGGCATTGGCTTATCCTTGTTGCTTTGAGTTTCATTTGACAACTATTATTTTTGTTTAATATTTTAAATAAAATATAAATTTTGATTGCTAATTTTATTTTATAAACAATATAAAAATATATTTGAAAACATTAGTAAAAATAATACTTGTTGATTTTTTAAACTGATAAAATGTACTTCCGTACTCATTCAAAAATTGTTTATTTTTGTATTAAAATTTCATTTCTTTTATAAAATTATTTTATCTTAATTATATATAAAGAAATGTGTTTTTTTTTTTTATATTTACTTGTAGTATATGAAATTTTATTCTTATTGAATATATATTTTTGTTATGATATAATTTTTAAAATATTTAAATTATATATTCTAGTTTTTTTAATATATACATTAAATTTATTTTAAAATTACAAATGTAATTAATTATATAAAGAAATAAAATTATAATTCATTATTATTAATTAATTAATTATTATTATTATTTTAAGTATGGTGTTACTAGGAAAACTGATTAATTATTTTGATATAAAATGAAGTATATATATATATATTGTTTTAATATGTGTATGTATTTATAAATAATTACTATATCACATTAGAACCTGATATGAACAAATCCAATTTATATCCACCGTTGATTCATTCATTCAATTGTTTTTGTCATTGCATACACAGCCAAAAACAGAACACACCGAACCTAATGATAAAGACTATTCTGCCCCCGGCCGTGCCCTTCTTCTCCGGCGACGATGACGGCAGTGGCGTTGCAGAGCGGGCAAGTGTTCTTCCGTTGCAGCCATTCCACAATACACCCAACGTGAAACTCATGTCTGCAAGGAAGCACTCCCACCATACCACAACAATCCTTCCCGCGCAAATTATCCTGACAGACTGCGCAGTTATTCTCGTCATCTCCGCCCACGCAATTTCTCGTTTTCAGGCGTCTCAAAATCGTCTCTTTCCTCAACCCAAAATCGCCGCCGTCTTCTTCAAAGAAAACAGTATCCTCGAATTCTCGAAAACTAACCTGTCCGTACGAGCCAATGGGCGGCGGCGCCGCCACAAGGACGGCGGTTTCATCCTCTAGAACCCTAATCCGGTCGAACCTCGTACGGCTTCTCTGGTACCGGACATCGTCGTCGGCATCGAGGATCACAGTTTCGTCTTCAATCCAATTACAGCAGGCGGCGGCGGGCGACGGGCGGCGGGAGAAGTAATTGTTAGGCGGATTGATGAGGGAACTGCGGTGTCGAAGAAGGAAGGAGTAAGCTTCGAAAGTAGGAGAGTAGAAGTGCGCCATGGAAATTGGAGATGAAGAGTTTGTCTGAATCTTTCTTCGCGAAATAAGAATGAATGAAGATTAACGTACGTTGAGGTTGAGGTTGAGGTTGTATATATAGGCCATAATATGGTAATATTTCCTTGTATAGATTTGAAAGATTTAAGAAATCCAAAACAATTACCGTTAGTTGAGGGTATATTAAGGCTATAATATAGTAATATGTCCTTATATAGATTTGAAAGATTCAAGAAATCAACAACATATCTTATTGGATTTGGCATGGATATATTTCCTTATTCAGGGCAACTCCAACCATGTGCAAAAATGGGAGGGAAGGGGGGCTCCAACGGTCCAACCCACCCCAAAATTTTGAAATGGAATTTTTGTGTATTTTTGGTAGGTTTTAGATTATATTGTATAATTTTATTTTTTTAAAAAATAATATATAATTTTATATTTTAAAAAGTGATATGTAGATTTTTTTTTTTTTTGAAAAATAATGTATATATATTTTTAAAAAAGTGTTATCAAATTTTAATTTTTTAAAATTGATATAATTTTATTTTTGGGAAAGTGATATAATTTTATTTTTTAAAAAAATTGATATGTAATTTTATTTTTTGGAAAGTAATATAATACTATTATTTTTAAAAAATAATGTGTAATTTTAATTTTTTTAAAGTGATATACTCTCTATGTCTCATATTTATGTATCCATTAGGGTGTAGTACAAATAAATGTGAAAAAACTAACTAATCTTAGTAATATTGTATGATATAAAAATAATGACATTTGTGTAATATATTATAAATTGAAAAGGTATTTGTAATGTTAGATATATATTACCATTATAAAAAAAAAAAAAGAAATTGATAAATTGTTATGAGATGAACAAAAATTGGATATATTGTTAAAAGAACTGTGGAATGAAGTATAATTTTACTTTTTTGAAAATGACGTAATTTTATTTTTTTAAACTAACATGTAATTTTATTTGTAAAAAGTTCTGTGTATTTTTTTTTTTGAAATACTTATTTGTATATTTTCCACAAAAGATTATATAACATGTATGTATAATTATTAAAAAATGTAGTATATGTTTGTATTTAAATTTATTTAAACTTGAAAATAATACTCCATATGTTATAAAATTATTTAGCAAATAAAATTAAAACACAAATTATATATGTTTGGATTATAATGCAAAAATAAATTAAAATTAAAGTATAATTTATAAATATAAAAAATTATATAAAATAATATAAAAAAGAAATATATAGATAATACAAATATACGATACTCTAGTCAAATTCATGGTCTGATTAATTCCTTATTTATGGTAAAAGATTTAATCAAGGAAATAAAAGTATACGGTACTCTAGTCAAATTCATCGTAATATAGTATACTTTGAAATAAATAATTTTGCAATATATTAACAAATAAATACATATGAAAAATCAAAATATAATTTTATTCGTTTAGTTAATAAATTATTTTGAACAATTTTATTATTTATTAATTCGATTTTACATTATATCTAATTTATTAGGCAAAATTGCCCATAGCTCCCTTGTGGTTTCGAAACTTAGCGTAAATTTCACATCTACTTTAAAAATTGCATAACGCTATGTTGCATGAAACCACAAAGTGGTTTCAAAACTCAACATAAATTCCCATTTTACTTTAGAAAATTGCATGATGGAAATCATTTTCTTATCATACGAGGAAAGTTTCATGATGATGGAGTTTCATGCAACCTTTTTTAAAGTATAAGAGGGTAACATGCAATTTTTAAAGTACAAGAAAATTTTAGGCAGAATTTTGAAACCGCATAGAGTTAAAAGCAATTTTACCAATTTATTATTCAAACAAATAGATTCTTATACACTAAAATATTATTTTTCCCTATCTATCATTTTGTATTCATCGATTTATCTGAATCTTTGTATGTTTTTTTACATTTCTCACATTAATTTTTTATTACCAAACAAATAAAATATTTTTCATTTCTCTACAATTTATTCTCTTAACCGACCAAGACACTTATATTTTTAACCTTATTTTCTTATTACTTTAAGTATTATCTTTTTTTTAAAAAAAAAATAACATTTAAAACATGATATTCAATAATTTATTCATAAATAAATAAATAAAAATATATACTATTTCCATCTTCTACGAATCATTACATAAATATTTATTTATATCATATCATTGGGAAGGGATTCTCAGCATCATCACACACCCATGTAGATACATGGGTGTGTGTGCGGAGCAGGAAGAAATGATGATGAGGATCTTGACTTTAGCCTCCTGCCCCACTCTTAGCATCATCATATACCCATGTATCTATACATGAGTGTGTATTTATAAAGTTGACTTTATAGATTACACACCCATATATCTATGCATAGATGTGTGTGGAGTAGGGAGGAACAGGAGGGGATGATGCTGAGGATCTTCTCCCATATCATAGTTATACAAATTCAAATATTTTCTTATATAAATCACAGATAAAATTCAAACTTTCAAAACAAGTACACTCAGATTTGCCAGTCACAACGCACACAAATATTATTTTATTTTATTTTACTATACACACTCGTCGAGCAACCGCAGCCGAATTCCACCGGAATATCAATTTATAAAATGATATAGAAGAAGAAGCTATAAAAAATTCATCTTGGTAGGAATTTGAATTGCAGCTCTCTTCAAAAGATGACCTGAAGCCTTCTTCGCCATCCCCACAATTTCTTCCTATCAATCACAATCACAAACCCATCATCCATTTTACCTCAGGACTTTCTACACACACAGATGCATACATATACATACATACATACATACCTCGTCGACGGTCGTGATCTTCTTGTCGATCATGATCCAACGGCCGTTGCACATTACGGAGGCTATGTTTTCGCTTCTCATACAGTAAACAAGGCTGGAGATGCTGCATCGAAACAGAAGCGTAGAGATCGATCAGATCAGCCTAGCTCGAACCCTTCTCGAGTACGTTGAGAATTGTTAATCTTGATTCGCTTACCAATCATGAACAGGAACCATCGTCCATGAAGAAGAATCGATCACGATCATGTCAGCCTGCAGGCAATACAAATGAGTCGTAATAAGGCAGTTCGTTAGGGAAAAATGACTCACAAAATTACCTTTTTGCCAGCCTCGATTGATCCTATTTCGTTGTCCCAGAGCACGGTTTTTGCTCCATTTATAGTTGCCATTTCAAGAACGGTTTCTGCAGGCAGAGCCGTCGGATCGGTGGTTCCTTGTTTGAAGACTTCCTGTCCTTTGTTGATCAAGGAAGCGACGTACATCTCATCCACTGCATATACAAAATCAAACTTTGCATAAGTTTATTAAGACGAAAAATTTGGATAAACTCAAAATGCTGATGGCGCCAACCGATGCTCATCCGGTTGTTTGACGGGGCGCCGTCTGTTCCCAAAGAGACGCAAACACCTGCGTCGATCATTTCTCTGATGGGTGCAAATCCGAGCAATTTCATTGCAGAAGCAGGGCAGTGCGACACTTTTACGCCCCTTCTCGAAAGTAAACTCACCTGAGAATAAGGTTAGGTGTAGCGCATGGTGCGATAGAAATTTGCAAGATTCGATAAAATTATGCGCCGAAGCATACCTCGTGCTCGTTGACCCAAACAGTGTGAGCTGCTAGTAAGTTGCTTTGCAGCAGCTCGATTTTCTCGAGATACGTCACGGTTCCGTGATCGACTCCTTGCCTATCCACGACAACTTGGTTTTCGTAAGGAATCTCAGCAACATGCTATGCGTCGAAAGATTTCAACAGCGGGTAAATTTCAATCGTATACGAATTTCGAGAGTTCTATCCGTAGAATGAACAGGAATGTAATTTACCATATGAATACCCGTCCCGAGTTCTTTTGCAGCATCTCTAGTTTCGGTCAGTAGGAGATCGGTTGAATTCATGATCTGCCTTATCCCGAACCATATTCTGATGCAGCCATTCGCTGTGTTATGATGCTTCTTGTGCAGCTCCTTTTGCGACTATACCCTCAAATAGATCAATTAATAATAACCACGACGAACAGCATTGACTGTTATATAAATTAGAAACCGAACCTGAATACACTCCTCAGTCGTCCTGCTGGCCCATGAAGCTGGCAGTCCCTCCCCGGCATCCATCACCGACTGTGTTAAGCAAGCTCGTATCCCCAGCTGTTCAACTGCCCTTGCCATCCCGGAGACGTGCTGCCCTCCGGCTTCAGCAAAGCACGTCACCTATTTCATTTCATTACCCAAAATTTCAATCTTTACGAAGGTATGAATAAAATGTGAATTTGAGGGCGGTAGATACGCACTCCCGAGTGAATGAGCTCAATGCCGCAGAGTAAAGTGGAAAGATAAGAGTCGTCCTCTGTCATGTGTGATTCGTAAGGCCAGATGCGGTGGTGAAGCCATGTTAGCAAGTCGACATCGTCTGCTATGCCTCTCCCCAGCTGCTGTGATGTGTGGACATGAGTGTTTATCAAACCTATATATCATCATCATCGACATCGTCAAACAGTTAAGTGAATCCAACTGCAAACTAGAGCTGAATTTTTAGTTAGGCTGCCTCATCTAGTCAAGATAAAACTTAGCTCGAACAAATTAAATTAGACAAGCCGAGTTGAAACATGAAGCTTTGTTCATTGAGATAATAAACAAGTTCAAGCTTTGCAAACGAATGTTTTGAATTTGTTACTCCCTCCCTCAACCAAATCTATACTTGTTTTCTTTTTTGTTTGTCCACAAAAATATATACTCTCTATATTTACAAATATGTCACAACTAAAATTTTTTATGTCACAATAAACTAATATAACTATATTCATTAAAATTATATCTAGCTCAAAGAAGCATAGAAGGAGTAGTTCTTTTTGGCTTCTATATCGTTACACAATCAAACTCAATGACCTAATTTTTGTTCGAACATTCAAATCCTATTTTCCATTGCAATGCCACATCCAACAATTATTTTCAAATTATGCAGCTTAATAAACAAGAATCAATCTAAAATTGTAATCAGGCGACACTTAGAAACTTAAGAACATGTTTGTTTACACTCTGCTCAAAATCATCAACAATTGAACATAACAGAATTGATCTAAGCATAAAAAGGAGCAAACAAAAGAATTTTGGTGTACTAACAGAGGAAGTATCAAACCTAATTTTGTCATCTACGCTTTTATTTCTTCTAAACCCTAAGCAGTTATTATCTGGACAGATCAAGAGGATGGAATAGATCAAATTGGGGGAAAAAGATATTAGTGAGAAGCATATCCAGATGTATATACCTGGCAGTAAGAAGCGGCCATGGAGATCGATGAGTTGAGGTGAGAGAGATGAGTACCGCGAAATGATGTCCTCTGACTGCCCAACGGCCACGATTGTGTCGCCCTGCACAGCCACCGCGCCGTTCCGGAAAACACGTCTCTGCGGATCCATGGTCACGATGAGTGCACTGTGGAGCACCACCACCGAGGTGCCGCTTAGCTGCCGCCGTCTCTCATCCTCCATGTTAGCGGCGCCGATTGTCTTCGTCAACGCCGAGTTTCGGAGTCACAGTGAGTCAATCCGATGATTTATAATTTTTATAGTAAATGGTCTTTCCAATTTTAGCTCCATTTAATTGCTAAGGAAAAAGTACAGGTAAAATCACTCTGACTGAGATAAAATATTTTGAACACTTATTATTTATTTACTCATCTCATATCTATATATCTATTTGCTTCTTACATGGATAAAGTCGAAATAAAAATAAAAATACTAAATTAATTTTAGTATTGTATGATATAAAGATAATAACATTTGTATAATATATTATAAATTAGAAGGGTATTTGTAATGTTAGGTAGATAGTACAATTACTAAAAAAGAAAATGGATACGGACGGACCAAAATGAAAAAATGGATAGATTGTTAAGGGACGGAGGGAGTATTTATTTATAATATTCCCTCCATCCATAAATAAATATCCATTGGCTTTTGCACATAGTTTTAAAAATATTAGTACTCTCCCCCCGTCCCATTGAAAGGTTACTATTTTCTATTTTCGTCCGTCCCAAAACAAGGTTACCATTACCTAATTTAGTAATTGTACTACATACTTAACATAATAAGTACCATTTCATTTGTCATTACTTTTATATTACACCATACTAATAGGGGTATTTTTGTCTTTTTTACTACAATCCAATATAATATTAATATTTAAAAATCTACGTGCAAAAAACAAATGACACCCTTCCAATGAGACGGAGGAAATATTATATTTGAATACAGTAAAAATAAAGTAGAAATGACTAAAATATGTTAATAGATAGTACAGTTACTAAAAAAAATAGATACTTTGTCATGACAAACTAAAATGGAAAAATGAATACTTTGTTATAGGACGGAGGGAGTACAACGTTATAATTTTTTCATAAAAATATTATACTACGTCCATTCCGCAAAAAGAATAACATTTATTTTTTCACGTAGATTTTTAAATATTAGTATTATACTCCCTCCGTCCAGCTAGAAAGTATACATATTTTTATTTTGGGACGTCAAACTACAAAGTAAACATTTCATTAAATACCTTACTTTTTTCCACAAATACCCCCACTTTACATCACATCATTACTTTTACACCAAAAAGCAAGGACAAAAATGTCATTACACTACTTTTAACTACCCACTATAATTAAAATACTATTATTTCTTAAACACCACCCCAAAAGTAATTGTATACTTTTTTTGTGGACGGAGGGAGTATTAATTTATATAAAAAAGACAAAATTGCCCTTATTAGATTGTGTGATAAAAAATAATGACATTTGTTTAATATATTAGAAGTTGTAAAGGTATTAATTATGTTAGGTAAGTAGTACAATTACTAAATTAGAAAATAATATTTTTTTGGAACGGACAAAAATGGAAAATGGTATCCTTCTTGTAAGAAGGAGGGAGTAGCATATTGTCCCACTTAATTTTTTTTTCACTATTTTTATTTTCGTCCATTCACATAATTTGTCATTGTTTTTGTTTTAGAAATATAATTATACATTTTAATCACATTTTAAAATTTATAATTTATAATTTTTTTATTTTAATTAAATTATTTAATCATTTTAATTTTATTTTAAAATTTTTTTTATTAAATTATAATTATTTTACTAATACCTAAAATTCAGTGTTTAAAGACAAACTAGCTGAAACAGAGTGACTAATATTTTATTTCTTTTGATTTTTCAGAATTAAACTTCCATTTATTTATTTATTTTATCTAAACATAGTTATATCTATTGGAGATTAAATGATATATGGAATAATGCCAAAATGTTTTGAAAAGATAATACTCCCTCCTGATGCATTTTGTTTGAGCTAATATAGATCGATTATTTAATGATTGTAATAGAAGTATATTATTGTTGATGTAATTTTTCAACAAAAATAAAGTAAAATTCAAAGATATGAAAAATATCCTTAAACTTGATTAATTAGTGCCTGAGATTAGGAATCTCTAAACACTGTAACGTACAGAAAATAAACTGGAAAATAAAAGACTGAAATTTAAAGTGGTGATCCCCAAATCTGACTTTGCTTTGTTGAAGTTGATTGAAGATACCTTGCCAAATGATTATCCAAGCCTTTAAATATTCTCTGGGAAACCGTACCGAAAACCGTCATCCGAACGGTTACAACGTCTCCTTCCAAACCGTCTTCCAACCCTTCTCATGCTGACACGCGTCCTCAGCAGACCAAAATTATCCCTACATTTCACTCTTTGAGCCGACCACAGACCTTCCGCTCTTTTGGCCCGACTACCAATCTACAATAGTATGGGTCCGACCGCCAATCCTCCCGACTTGCGAACCATCTGACTTGAGGTCTTTCCGCCTTGAGGACTTCCCGACCTGAAAACCTTCCGACTTGAGGTCTTTCCGCCTTGAAGAATTCCCGACCTGAAAACCTTCCGACTTGAGGTCTTTCCGTCTTGAGGACTTCCCGACCTGAAAACCTTCCGACTTGAGGTCTTTCCGTCTTGAGGACCTCCCGACCTGAAAACCTTCCGACTTGAGGTCTTTCCGTCTTGCGGACCTCCCGACCTGAAAACCTTCCGACTTGAGGTCTTTCCGCCTTGAGGACTTCCCGACCTGGAAACCTTCCGACTTGAGGTCTTTCCGTCTTGAAGACCTACCGACCTGAAGTCCTTCCGACCTGAGGTCCTTCCGTCTTGAGGACCTACCGACCTGAGGTCCTTCCGTCCTAATGACTTTCCGTCTTGAGGACCTACCGACCTGAAGACCTTCCGACCTGAGGTCCTTCCGTCTTGAGGACTTTCCTTAGTAATAAACCTATTTTCCTTGATTTCCTCATGGTACCCTTCAGTCAGTTCAATCAACTCTATTGCCAGGCCCATTCTTCTTTTTACCTTGGGCTTTTAACCTAATTCTAAATTTCGTACGTAACAACTTGCCCGCCGCCAAGGGACTTTCAAACGCCATTTAACAATCAATGTTTGGAAGTTCATAAATCACTACCCTCTTGAAAAACTCCCTTAGCAACTGCACCAGTTACTGCAACACTCCTGATAATCTTCCTTCTCCGCAATACAAGCTTTTGTGAATCACAAACCCAAAACACTCTGACCATGGCGAATCAATACATTCCTGCCCTTCCCTTCGACGGAACCCTCCCGGAGGGCCCATTTTCAGCCTCGAAAGTACTGACTCCGACGATCCGTCCATATTGCACTACTCCTGAAGATTCAAATCGGATGAGGGAAGTCTTGGAATCCCGAAATTCCTTAGCTATCAACAGCCCTAACTACCAAGCAGTTCGCATTTGAGACAGCATCAAAACTCATCTCACAGACCCAAAAGATCCTTACCGCGCTTGGTATCGACAGGTAGCAGAACACTTCCAGACCCAATGGCGTTCCCAAAAAATCGACCAAGCAATATTACTGTCCACCATGCCTATCAACCTGCATGAGAAGGTGTTGTTGGCCATGTCTGCCTTCTGGAATGCGGAAAATGGGACTTTCCTCTTCCCATCGGGCCCCTTTGGCCCAACTCTTATGGACGTTGCAATGATCGCGCATCTCCCAGTCGTGGGTGAAGACCCTGTAATGGGAGCCCTAGATGGGCAGGAGCCATCAGAAGACCATCCAGGGTGGTCTTTACAAGGTGTGAAGGAATGGGGTTGGACAAAGTTCGCAACCGACCAGCAAGGGGCTCCAGGGACCCCTGTAACCGACCGGGAGCATACTGCCTTTATCCTTTTTTGGCTTTGTAGGTACGTCATTGTTTCCCCTTCCAAATGTGTTCTTCCTTCTCATCTCGACCTAGCCATTCATATCGCGTCAGGTCGTTTTTTCTCTCTTGGCACCCTGTTTTTAGCCAATCTGTTTGAAGGACTCACTAGAGTTAGCCTTCGTTTAACAGATAATGATAATAGGAAATTAGATACTGCCGCGTCGGGTCCTTTTTGGTTTTTAGAACTTTGGTTCCGGCTCTACTTCCCCAATGCGTTTAACTTAGGATCTCCGCCCACTATGCCAACAGCTGAAAAACATTTGGGATTAGCCCTTAACCGACTCTGCTCAGGACGGAATAACCTCCAATCTTCCGATCCAATAATAATCGCAGTTTTAACAGATACCCGCAGTAACTCTCGATTTTCTATGTATAAAAAATATGCGGGCTATGCTCCCGACCATTTTTGGCCTTTTCCAGTACCAAATCCGCTTCCGACTCCTGAGCCTTGTCCTCATTCCACTTATCCTTTTGCCTGGGACGTTGCCCTCAAACCCAGGTCTCTTTTTAGTAGCAAAAAACTTGATAAAAAGGGGCAGAAAACCTTTTACACTTTTAATTATGAACCTCAATTCATAGCGCGCCAGTTCGGCTGTTGCCAAGGTATCCCTGGACCCGTCGCTTGTCCTCATATAATTTTTCAAAGTCCCGACCGACGAGTCCTACCAAATTCAATCCCTTCTTATATCTCCCAGCTCACCACGTATATAACTTCCAATTCTTATATTCCTTTCCGCTCCAACCCTGAGATTGTAGATACTTTCAATGAATGGTGGTCGGTTGTATGGCCCCTGATATCCCCTGATGAGGGTCGGTTGCTGAACATACTCCTTCCACCCCAAGGATTGGTTCTAGGGGCGGCTAGACATACTAGCACTCAACAACCAACAGCCGCCCCGGGGACCGGGTCTATTGCTCCAACGCGAAAAAGGAAGGCGTCCCGGCTGCCGACACCCCCGACCTCTGGGGCCGACCAGCAAGCACCAGCGGACCTTGGAACTACGAAAACATCAGCAAGGATCCGACCCCGAATAGGTAATTTTTCTTAAAACCGTGAACCAATTCACTATATCTTAACTTTGATTTCACATATCATTCACCAGAACCGACCTTGGCAGCACCGACCACACAACCGACGCCAACCCCAGCCAACCAACCTTTGGTCCCGACTGAGGCAGTTCCTCTCCAAACCCCTACTCCACTTCTCACTTTGCCAATGAGCAGTCGGACGGAGGACCCGACGAGGAGGCAAACTCTTCCTCCCGTACCGAGGAGTGGTCG